CTCGATCCTTCCCGTGAATCTCTCAACTCATCTCTGATTTGGCAGAGATGAGTTGGGAGATTGCCATAATGGTAAGCCACCACCGTCAACTGGTAGATGGCACAGCCATCGTGAGTGCGCGAGCCCCTACCAGAAATTCATTGCGCCGCCCTTGGGGGCAAAAAACGGTGAAAGCTAACGTGTACGAAACCAGAGGGCAGCACACGATGCGATCGCGCGACCCTTCCCGTGAGCAATCTCCCAACTCATCTCTGTGTATATATATACAGAGATGAGCAGGGAGATGTTCCAAGCCTTTGTTAGAAAATGAGGCACGGCTCACTGGCGCCGTCTTCGCCCTTGTAAGAGTTGGAACTACTTTCAAAGGGGCGAAATATGAATGCCTGCTCATCTCTGATATATATTACATCAACCACGTAGTTTACCGTAGGAAACAATAGAAAACCAGTAAATTACGTTTCCAATATGAGGGATTCCGCAAATATGCGATATACTACATCCACTAGGGTATAAACGTTTTTTAGCATATATTTAAACACGTAAATATTTTTATGGAATAATAAATTAAATTGGCGCTTGCGTTCAAAATTGTTTTATGTTTCCAATATGGCGGATCCTACAGATGCACGATATATGTATCCGCTAGATTATAAACGGCTTTTAGCGCATGTGTAAATACGAAAAAATTTTGAAGGAATAATTTATTTGACGCTTGTGTTCAAAATTCTTTCGACTTAACCCAGTTTAATATCAAATTTCTAATTGGATTTGTTATTATCTATTTAGAAATAGAAAGGTGTAATATATTTCACGCTCATGTAGAAAACTAAGAACGTATTATACGTTGTAATACACGCGTAGATAACCACGTATATTACATGACGTATTACATCTATCCACCTTGCCATTAGCATTTCATATCTCAGGTACGTCTCATCGACACTGTCTTCCCCTTAATATTGTAAACGAAAACTTTTCTGCCATCAAACGCAACTGCTTATTTCTTGAAACCCTTGCTGACAATGAGTCCTCGTCGTTACCTATTAATTCCCCCTTGAAATCCAAAAACCCTACTAATTCCACCACAAAAGTTGATCCAGCCATTCGGGTATTCCTTTTCCTATTTCCTTAATTATAAATTGATTACGTGTGTGCACCGAATCTCTCGTAGGAACTCAAAATCTCCTGGACGCGCTAGCTACTCATCTGCCATGTAACAGAACCCTTACTATTGCTTGCTATGTTTCAGTATGATAATATGCTTGTGTAATCATTTCCTAAATGTTTATAAATAAAAATGTTACATTGTCTACCAATGCACGTTATATATTGTAGTTCTTAAACGCTAGAAAAAATAATCTTGCAGATCTAGGTAAATGCACGTTCTACGTTTTTTAAAATAATGATCGCGTTTCCTGATCAGTAACCCTCATAGCGTAAATGGAAAGCTCAACAATGGTCATCGATGATTGTTGCGACGTTAAATCTGTTAATTCCAGGAAGCTGTTAAAGAATCAACGAAATTGTATTATAATTGATCTAGGTAGTAGAAAAGTAATCTGCATGTACATAGGTATAAAATTAATTATAAATAATGACTGTACAAAAGTACTTAATTACTTACATTTTTTACATAAGTATTACCATTTTATTACAATACGCTTAGCATGTCATCACTAATTTAAGGAGTTTATTAATGAAACATCCAAAATGCAAAATGTTGCTCTGCATACAGGGCATGAACATTTGGATGATAACCATGTTTCTGGAGCACTCTCATCTTGTTTCGACGCAAACCTGAAAAACAAAAAGTTAAAACAAAAATATCAACAAATCCTATTAAAGGTACAGCATTTTTCAACAAACCATTTAGCCATGCATTCCACACACCACATAGGTCGACAGTGGCAAGTACTGCAAGCGTTTGATCCATTTTCATCTTGTACATTTTCACATAATGTATTTAATTTAACATTAGATGTGACTTGCATACATCCAATGCATTGCTCCAACTCCTTTGTAACAAATTTCATTGCAAATATGTACTTATCATAAAGCGATATTAACTTATATTACTACAAGTATTAAAAATAAATAAAACTACTTACTTCGACGGTATCATACCTAGGATTTGCAGATACATGTTTCTTAAAGGTATCTACAAATCTATCTAACAGTGTTTTATGGAAAGTCACATTCTGCAATACAGCAATGGGACATGATATCCTATCGCAAAAATCTTTGTAATGCAGCGAATTTATGCGTATATTAAAAGGTTTCGTACCTCTCCTGAATGGCTTAACCTGTGTCAGTGAAATAAATAGTTATATAAAGTACAAAGGATTATAATAAATTAGGTAATTACTATAAATACCTGAATGTCAATGTATTGGACTTCACCTCGAGTATTTGCAGACATGGCATGGGTATCACATTTAACAACAATTAATGCTGCGTCTCTTTGATGAGCGATATTCAGATTATATGGAGTTACTTTAATGATCCAATTATTTGTTATAACTACTTTATAAATACTATTCATATGTATTATAGTCTTATCAATACTGAAACAATCACATTAAAGTTACTATCATTTCATTTATGTATTTCTCAGATTATCAATAATTACCTTTTATATTCGATATTAATACCAGTCGCAATTGACACCCACGTTTGATTACTATCACAGAAAGTCTTCAGGATTTTTGCTACTGGATGAAAGGACCAATTTCCCAATGACCAATACAAACTTTTACATAGAGAGTAAATCGGCCATGCTGCAGTAAGGATAACAATTTCTAACCAGACTCGATCGCTGTGCAATACGTCATGTACAGCTTGCATGTAGTCAAAGCATATCAAACCCAAAATATAACCTAAAAATTAATATAATTTGTATGGAAACAGCCAGGACAGAGAAAAAGACAAAAGTGAAGTAAAAAGGTACCACATGGGATCAAAGAATGCACAAAAATAGTTGCTGCTGTTCTTTTAATATGATATTGTATGAAATATTCGTTTTCACTACCCAACCATCCTGAAAATAAATCCTCTATGATTAAACCAGCTGACACGAATTCCGTCGGTGGATAAACAATGCATCCTGAGATTAAAATATAAAATATTGTAAAAAAGAAACACGAAGACATTCCGGATTCAAAAAAATCTAGTTTAGATGAAAACAATAATAAACAATCCAAACGTTCCAGTTATGCCCGGTTACACAACTGAAGTTTAAACGAGTATTGCCATCGTCGCGATTCAGAGGGTAGTAGAAATCATCAAAAACACAGATGAGTTGGGAGGTTGGTCACGAGCAGGATCGCGCGATCGTGTCCTGTGCTGCCCCCTTAGAGCCGATGCGGGCGGCTAACGTACTTGCCATCTGCTACCCCTCAGTGACAGCGCAAATCATTTCTGCGGGGGACTCGCGTACTCTCGACGGCGGTTCCATATAACAGTCACCGGGGTCCATTTATTTGAGGAATACGAGGTATATGTAGAACGTAAATATATAAGAGACATGAAATTACGATTTCGTTTCTATGTCCGACAGTTATGTTATATATATTTAGAAACTATTTTTTTTAAACTAAGATAATATTTTATCTTCTGTNAAATAATTATCATTAATTGTTTTTGTTTATAAATATTTATCTTCTTTTAGAAATCCATTCTGCCCCTCAGGCGATTCAAATTCCGCGCTGCTCTTGTTGCTAGTACGCTGCGCGGCCGGAGAGAGCAGTGCGGACCGGAGGAACCATCGACGGAGTCCAGAGTACCAGTGGCATCCGTAGGAAGAACGGCGCTCGTGTCAGAAAAATTTGACAGTTGTGTCCCCTTGGGCCTGGTTACTCTCATCTTTTCTCTATTTTGCAGTAAAAAACTGGCTTTAATAGAGTACTCCTTTGGATACTTTGGGGACCAAAGAACAACACATTGACAACAACGTAATCCTCTGTGTGAAGACCGAGTACAAAAAAATGTTATTTGTTAAATTGAGTAGCCTTATATCAAATTGAAAATTATGAATTAACATAAAATGCAATTCCTGATAGTTATTCTAAATGATTTACGGTCGTTCTGTCGATTAATATCCGCCGGCAGAAACTAAATTAATGTAAATTAATACTTTCTTGATATGGAAGTGCTCTGGAGAAATTCGAAAATGAAATACACCTTTATTGTTTGTATTTTTATTACGTTTTTCATCTCATGCCTAATTGGTATTACTCCAATTAATATAGGTAAGTTAAATATCATTTAACAATAGAGATCTTATGTATTTTGCGGATTACAAGTGACTTAACACATGAAAATTAGGTTATGATGCAGAAGGTTATCAAATTAAATGAATATATCTAAGAAGAAACTTTTATTTTCATCGGTTGAAATGGAAAGTGCTTAGTGTCAATTTATTTAATGTGTTATAGAAGACTGTAGATGCACCGATGGATCATCTGAGAATTACCGATCCAAAAAAGCTATGCGTAATAGTACAATTACCTCAAAAAAATTAAAGCACCGCCTTGCCATAATTGTACCATTTAGGGATCGATTTGAAGAATTACTACTATTTGCACCACATATGCAAAAGTTCCTTGATAAACAACAAGTGGACTATCATATATTTATAGTAAATCAGGTATATTATCAATATTCATAACATTCAAATTCAAATAATGCAAATATTCGATGTAATTATGTATTAATGTTTCAGATTGACCGATTTAGATTTAATAGAGCATCACTTATAAATGTAGGATTTTTAGAAGTTAAAGACAATTTTGATTATATAGCTATGCACGACGTTGATTTACTACCTATGAATGATGACTTGTTATACGCTTATCCTGAAAAAGGTCCATTTCATGTATCCGCTCCAGAATTGCATCCACGATATCATTATCCAACATTTGTTGGGGGCATACTACTTATAAAAAGGTACTACTTTTAGTTAACTAATTACGTTATAACGATTGTATACATATTGTTCAATTCTTTAGAGAACAATTTGCACAAGTTAATGGTATGTCAAATAAGTATTGGGGGTGGGGTCTAGAAGACGATGAATTTTATATTAGACTGAAGGAAGCAAATCTGAATATCAGTAGGCCATTAAACATTACTACTGGAACACATAATACATTCAAGTAAGTTTCATAAAAACACCAGATGAATGTTTATAGTAAAAACGTAACGATATCATTTTTTATGCAAGTATATTTTCAGGCATATCCATGATAGGAATCTTCGCAAGCGAGACATGGTTAAATGCTACAATCAACGCCAGATTACTCGAAAAAGAGATCGTCAAACTGGTCTAAATAACATATCTTATAAATTAGAGAATACAATTAAAATGACTATTGAAGACTTATCTTTAACTGTTCTAAATGTATCATTAATGTGTGATAAATCTATTACTCCTTGGTGTGAGTGTGATAAAGTGGATGTGCCGAAGGACAGAAAAATGAAAGACAAGAAACAAAAACAACTATAACATAAATACACTCTAAGGTAAAGAATATGCCAGCAATTACTACATATTCTCATATATTACAAAATATTGGGTTGATGAGTTTCGTTTAGCAGAAACTCAACTTTTTGTCTCATTAACATGTCATATAGAATTAAAATAAAGACACCCCTGGCAATGTAGTTGTGAACATCACAAGAAGTGCATCACAGTTCACTTCTGATTCAGTATTTATAAAAAATAATGATACATATACGTAATATTAACAAGCCAGGAAGTGGAGCATAAGCCCGTATCTAAAACTTTCATTGTTTAATCAGATTTTGCTCTGTCAATTTAATTAAAATCATGTTATTTCCTTCATTACATAGCAGAAAGTTCAGTAGCAAACATGTGAATTTCTATTTTCCAAACATTTGAATGTCTGCTTTCAGTGACATTCAATGATCCGCTCATATTTCTTATGCTTTAAAACATCTGACAATTGATATGATCTACGGTATAAAACGTGTACTCAAATATTTTATTATTACAAATTTATAATAAGAAATGCCAATTTCTCCATCAATTGTAAAAAGTTTCAAGCATGTTGATGCAAATTATCAAGATTTTATTAAGGTACTTGAGAAAGTAGCTGTTCCGAATATTAATTCAAATATTTCTGACAATCGAAATAATCTTCAGTTATTCAATGGGTGACTGCTAAATTGAAAAGTCTGCAATTTATTATTGACATCCGGATGCCGGGAATTTGTATTCCAAGAAGTCATGAAAAAAAGATTACAAATGATGTATTTCAGATAAAAATACCTACAACTATATTACGTACTTTAAACAGGATCAGTGTGAAAGAAACTACTACATTGCTACCATTTGGATGTAATAGATTCTCCTAGGGATAAATAGGAAACCTATCCTTTTCAAATAATTGAAAAATAGCGCACTATTTAGACACGGAGCCGCAAAAATGAAAGGGCCGTTGTGCTTACGGCATGTCGCAGAATGCTTTCAAGCATTAAATGAAGTATTGCCTCTTAATATTAAAACTAGATATACCCCGAGCGCCGACGCGCCCGACTTCGGGGATCGTTTGCTCAGGAGCGGCGATAACGGTTGCCCGAGGATATCGATCGGACCGGGCCTCGTGGGTTTGTTTTTGGGACGCGCTTCCAGATGGTTGAAACCAGCCAAAGACCTCGTCGAGTAAAGTAATAAAGATACTTTATTTTCGGTGCCTCTTGGTTTACAGGAATGACTCGTAGGCTAGTCAACTCAAGGGGACTGGTGTTCGCCCAGAGTTACAGGTGCCTCGCACGCAGGTTACAGAATGGAAACAGTTCAAACTTCGATAGATCAGAGAGCGACCCCTTCGGAGCGGGCCTATTTACACTAAACTAGGGTGTTCCTAGATGCAGAGGAGGATGCTTGGTGGGTTTTTAAGATTGAGAAGGGAAATGTCTCGTGTGATTGGTTTGGGGACAGGTTCAAGGGGAAACAGGTGGAAAGTGTCTTCTCCAAAGAATCTGAATGTTTGACTTTTCCCAGGGCTGCTATCTAGTTTGGGGTGCGAAAACACTCGGAGAAACAAAGGGGAGATAAAGAACGAGGGAGAGCGGGTCTCTAGGAGTATTTTGGAGTACGAGACGCGCTGCTTAGTCTCTTTCTTAATATTACTTAAAAAAAAAATGTAGGTAGGGACCTAACACGGCACGGCTCGACTGCGCCGAGTTTGATCAATCAATCGCCGAATTTCGATTCCCGATTCGGATATTTCGCGCCCTTTGTTTTTCCCGGTGCCGAATAGCCGTGGATTTTTCTTATATTTGCCAGATCAAGTTTATGGCGAACCATCGCGTGTTCGAATTGTCTCGTATCGGATCGGATTTTCTTTGGGGCGATCTTCCGTCGAACCCCGTCGTCTTTTGTAATTATCTGTCATACGCTGTCCAAAGTATTCGGTAATTTATCTTTCTAATTAAAATAAATCTGTTAATTTTCTTGATTTCCGTCTTTATTTTCTGAGCTGAATTCCTCCAAATTTTCCCGATTTGAGTTTCTCCCCAATCCCGTAGTCTGGTCTTACCCCGCCCTCTCCGAATCTGGCGCGTGTGCTCTGTGCTAGCCGGCCGCGCCGCGACGATTGTCGAGGCGGAGATCGTTCGAGCCTAGTATTTTCAGTTTTGCGAGTTTGAGAGTTTGTTTCTTTGCCCTCCGAGGCCTGGCGCCCAACTTCGTGTCTCGTTCCTGAAACCGGGAAATTTTTGAGTGGCTCGAACGGATCCGCCTAGACGATCGTCCGGGCGCCTATCCCCCTCGTCCATTTTTCTATTTCTTCGTCACAATAGATACCTAAAATATTGAAATATGCTAAATTGATACTTTATATCGAGCTTCTACAGACGTACAAAAATGTGGTTACACTGTACAAAATTGCGTACATTTAAATAAAATGTTTTTAAAAATATTCATAAAATTCATGCACTTTTAGCATATAAGGTTGTAGTAAAATTACGAATTTAGTATCTTAAAAGTGAATCGGTATACATTTATTATACATATCTAAAAAAATGATGATTTTATAACAGTTATAATTTTTTAATGACCAGTTTCATAATTATTTACGAGTATTATTTAAGATTAAGTTTACAAAAAGATGCAATAAGTATCATTGCCACTGATCGAGAAGTACCACAGCGGTCTCCAGAAGTCTGAAAAATATTCATTCTTCCATAGGCTTTGGTAACATTATGGTCAGCGTTACTGCATCCTACTTATGAGTCACGGGTCCAAATCCCGACAACGGCAAAAGAATTTTTCTGCGTCAAAAACGGTAGGATTAGTCTGCATTGCTGTAATGAACAAGTTCTCAAACAGACTCAGCTCAAAAGTGTTATGAATTTTATTTATTTTTGCGATGCATATGTATATCAAATGAATATCTGGCGTAGATTAAACATCTATGTAGATATATATGTATAATGTTTAATAGCCGGTCAGCTAGCCTTTGAGTGTATATCTAAAATAGATAATCGTGTACATATATATCTTATACAAGGTGTAACAGAACTCGTAGTCACGGTTTATATAGCGTTATCCTTTTGAAAAAGGAGTCGAAAAGTCCTGTACTATTTTTTCCTGCAGTGCATAAATGTCTTGTAATAATTAAGCGAAGCACAACCAATCCATCGCGTTTCAGAACGGCAGGCATAGCGGAGAGAAGGTAAGGCTACTACTGTTACGCCCTGTATATCCCTGTCACGAACCATGCACCATATGAAAGTCTACTTCAAGCAATAAAATTACATTAAGCTTTACCAACAAAAAATCTATTGGTTCCTTTATTGGTGACCAGCAAATCTAATATTTTCGATAATAATTAAAATATTTCTTTACGATGTTACATAGAAAATACAATATTGCTAATCGGTTATCTTCACCACTTTAGCACTCGAGTAGAGTAATCAAAAGGAAGGTTTCATACACACATTATAATTATTTTGGCAAATATTATATCATGTATATTCCAATTATTCTATGTTGTTTCATATAAAGTTTGTACATGTATTTACAATAAAAAATGTATTGCATAATACAGTATTAAAATACTTTAAAGTACTTATATCTATTTTACACATATCTAAATGATATTTTAAAGGTGTTCAGTTTACAATGTGAAAGTAGATATATGAAAGATGGAGTATTAAGAATGGGATCAATAATAATAAGTTACCTTTTCAAAATTTCAACACCAACTACCGGCGGATATTTTTTGTATAGGATGGGCCATTTGAAACCAGTCATTTTGACTGGTCTTGGTAGTTCTAGTGTTAATGAAAACTGTTAAACATAAGGGTCTAGTAAAGCCAGGTCGGTCATTTTGAATTTTAATGGCACAGGTGAGGAAATCCCGTAGAATTTCTAACTGGTATTTGGCTACATTTTTTCACGTTTTCGTCGAAATGTGATTGCCGTACTGACCAGTGGATGTATAAAATGTGTCAGCCGGTCCGTGTTTGCGTTGATATTATATTTATTATCGAAATATCACCCTTGAATCCTAGTCTCGTTAACGGGCCAATTTTTGGATATCTTGTTTTGCAGTGCATCACCCGTCAAATTGTGAACTCATTAGCTGATACATTTTATGAATACCTCGTTTCTTCGTGTCGAATTTTTTATTGGCACATGTTATTCGCTTCGCAGAATACCAACTGAAAATTTTACGCAATTTTCACTGCCTCTGACAACAAGATTCAATATGGCTGACCTAGCTTCACTGGACCCACAATGTTATGATTATATGTTTAGCTTCCATCAATGAAGAAACATGATTCACTAATTTCTACTAGATTTAACCCTTTCGCTTCCACAAGTCGCTGCGCCAAAGCGTCGATACTGAACGGGACCCCGTGCCAAAAGTGTACACGTTACGCTTATAGCCTGTGTTGGAAGCGAAAGGGTTAAAAATATGATCCATGATTTCCTACCATTGAAAGATAGATTAACTGTATCACTTTCAATTTCATTATTTTTGGTACCGATATGACAAGGCAAATACTTTATCAACTTGAGTTATTCGAATTCAAAAACATTACCAACTCAAGATTACACTCAAGTCGAGAATTTGGTGAAGGAAGAAGGAACACGTCTACATACACTCAATTCTGCAAGTCGAATCCAATGTGAGTTGGCAAGTAAAACTACTTGTATAATGACGACTCAATTAAATGAATAACATGCAGATGATATCTCGTTACAAATAGGTAACTCAGTTTCGCTCTTACACTCGTAACTTAGATTAGATCGTGCTATTAACTCAAATTACGATAGAAATTATTCGAGTTGACTCGAATATATGCTCAACAAGAGTTTAGCAAGCTGAAATATTCAACTCGTCAAGTCCCTAGTTTTCGGTACACGAAAAAGACGATTCTCAAAAGCATATACTTATAATTGATTACATTTTTCAAGTATTGTCCAGTTTTCTAAAATTTACAAAATTTGAAGATATCGGTTAATGATCCAGATCAAATAAGGCAAAGATGGAGTTACGCTTCCACGTTAGAAGACTACACAGCTGCATTTAAATGTGCAAAAATAAGTATATCTAAATCACTTGTACTTAAACGGTCATCATTGTCCTCGTCAAATATATCTTGCACGGTACCTGTTACAACGTCGCTCACGTGAATCTCTTCGAAATCTTCAATTTTATCAATTGTTACGTTTCTGTGACCGTTGCTGGCTTGTTCTATAGCATTAGCCTGGTAACTGTTAAAACACTCCTGTGATGTACTTTGCTTTGTAGCCCCTTGAACCGACTCTTTGTTACTACTACTGTCATTAATTTGGAAATGTCTGTGCAACGTCTCCAATGTTGGTAGCGGAAAATTGTAACTTAATAACTTTCTGTAACCATCCTTGCCACATGTTTGTCTAATATCTAATGCAGTGGCTAATGCTTGCTCAGAAAATTGATGAGTTATATTATCTATTAACATTTCCTTGAACTCATCCCGTCTTTCATCGATCAATTTCCTTCTTTTGAACACATTTTGCATATTAAGCATTTTTCTTTTATATGTATTAGTGTTTTTTTCTGCTCTCTCAAGATATTTAGAAGCCTTCTCTAATTTCCAATTGAGTTCTTTTATGAGAACATCTCTTTGTTTCAACTGACCTCCGAGTTTCCTCTTCAGTTGAGTTGTCTCTGTCATTGTTTTCGTCAACCTGTTGTTAGTGTCTTCCAGATAGGCTACCCTGTTTGCCATCTCTTCAAATAGCTTTCGATCAAAAAGATAACGGACCTTATCCGATTGAGAATAAGAATTGCTGTTAATCATTTTTGTCTTGCGAGTCAATGCCTCAATTTCTCTATTCTTTGCCTGTAGATTTGTATTTATAAGTATGACTTTGGTTTCCAGCTCTTTATACAAGGCCACTTGATTAGTCAATTTCTCGATCATTCTCTGCTGGATATTAATTTTCTCCAGTAATTCTTTAAACGTATCCGATGAAGTTTTTGTGGGATCATCTATTCTTGTTTCACATTCTGTAGACAAACATTGCGATGAAATTGTCATTTGTGAATCATTAAAGTTTCTTTTTGTCTTAATCTTGTTATGGTGCTCGGCTGAACTTTTTCCATATAATTCTTCAAAGCCCAATGAGTCATCGGTTGCTGTAACGAAATGGGAGTTTGAAACCGATGATCCATCCAATTTTAAAACATGCTTTCTCCTTCTTGAAGAAGGCATTATTTTTTTAGGTGTATTATTTTCCATACCCTTTGATTCTCTGCTACAAGTTTGTATAAGATGGCCATTTCTTTTTAAATCATGTTCAAGAAATGTAACCGTGGAGTCTTCAACTGCTATAACCGAAGTAACATAAGATTTGCCTTGATGATCTCCGGAGGAGACTTTTAACTCTTCTTTTTCGTAAGTCACGGCAGTTTTAGGATTGAGCTCTTTAATAATCTCTGTAACATCCTCTGCCATACCAGTGACCTTGATTGTAAACTTAGGTGGTTCATTTGTAGCAGAGTCATCTGTATCATTTGAGAAACTATTCCTTGGCGTTTTTAATTTTCGTTCAAAACTATTCCAAGCATTAGCGTGTGTTCTGAATCTTTTTGGTACATCCTTTAAAGAACTCTTTATAGTCTTCATATCTTCATCTCTAGATTTTCTTTTCCGTTTCATAGTAAGCATTACAGTTGAAATAGGTTGCGATTTTTCTTTATTGAAATTTGTTCGATCAGCAGATATTAATTTTACATCTTTTACATCTAAACTTTCACTTCCAATGGCAATTTCTTCATTGATCGATATATCTAACTTATCGGAAATTGTGACGGAATCACTTTTTGTTGAATCAAATCTTGTGCTTTCATCACCACTTCCAATACCAAAAATAGTTTCTATGTTAGTTAACTTATGTTTGTTAACTTGCGTATTAGATGAATCGCTAAGGGATGGCTTAATTTCTGAATTGTCAAGTGCTATGTGTCCTTTATTAGTATTTTCTATTTCATTAGTTTCAATGCTTTCTTCATTATATGTTAAACCATTGTATCTTTTATCAATAAAGGATTTATTACTATTATATTCCCCATCACATATTTGTTTAAGTTTTTCTTCAATTTCATCATAACTGTTATCAACAATACTGTCTTCTTCTGCACGAGATTCTTCTTCAGTTTTTATTACAACTTCTGCCTCGGTAGACTCTAGATGTTCCATGATTTGACCGATTTCATTGTCTACGATTATAAAATTGTTATCATTAATCAATGTACCTATTTCTTTATTATGAGTATTAGTCATAATGATAATATTGTCTTTCTCTAAATCCATTATAGATTTTCTAGAGAATACTTGATATATCGATTCTTCTTCTTCTTCTTTGACCTTTCCACAATTAATTAAATCCTGTAACATCTGAATTCCTGACATAGATATGCAATCTTTTGTAAGACCAAACTTCTCCTTGTATTTCTTATTTAACAGAAAGTTATTCAAGTCTTTTTGCAAATATTTCTTGGTAAAATGACTTTGCACGTTATCCTTGAAATGATCTACATCCATGCGCTTTCTAGTAGACTTTCTTGTTGATGTTATTGTAAATATAGATGGCACGGCATCCTTTCTTAATTTCAGTTTACCATTGGGTGATACAACCCATTGCTCTGACTCAAAATGCACATGACAAAGAAACGAGTTATTAGACGGTTCCCAATCAGCTCTGCCAACTCTATCTTTCCACACTTTTCGCAATACTGGATCACGAGGGAAACATTTCATAGTAAACCCTTTCTCGCTGCGATTATTACATCCTATTGCAGCACAACCAGGCATTATAAAGGATTTACTGCTATATATTGTATGCCAAGCATGTTTTACCTGCTACATTGTTGTGTATCCTCTGTTAAAATTCTGCATAGAATACCTATAACAAACATGTTTCATAATTCTGATTAGAAATAAATAATTAAAACTAACAACATAATTTAGAACAATTTTGTTTCGAAACTAGAAACTACACTTACGAAATCAAAACTCATACACGCATTAATGGTCATTTGGATATGGAGACTGCGACAATACATCCATTGCGTATTATTTCATTGCTTCCTGTCCATTAGTTTAGTATACAACAAAATCATTAACCTAAATTCAACTTCATTATTATAAAAGTTAGTTGAAAAGGTACTGTCCACATATGCAGTAGTTGCCAATGCATCAAATGCAAGTATAAAAATGATACTTATTAATAATAAAATAAACAATAACATCCAGAAAAGGAGTTCAAAAATTACCTTATACCTGTATTCTTAGGAAGAAATATCATATTCTGTATATACATATATAATATGTATTATAATGCGATTTAGTAATATTACAACCTCTTAAGATTACCAATTTCATTAAAAAATATTTAAAACTGGTTTGGCCGCCCTTGTTAGGTTAAGTCCATTCGCTTAGTAGCAGGGGCTGGACATTCTTATGGAAATATTTTCCCCAATTTTCCCCCGAAGTGCGAGCCAAAGAGTATTAGATAGAGCGGAAGGTCCAATAAGACCGCAATGTATTTTTGCGTAACGTCTTCAGCGCTATCTCGTGAGTGGGGTAAATACTAAATACCCCCATTACTCGTAGAATCTCATCTACCGCGAAATTCGACTACATGAAAAGGAACACCACATAAAATATTCATGAAAAATATGTTCAACATAATCAAATATTTATTAGGCGATTGTTTTTATACGTAAATATAATTTTAACAATAATAATAATACACACCGACATTCCTTGGTCCTTTCAGTTGAGGAAATAAACCAGTCAAAGTAGATGATGCCTTTGCAGTATTTATTTATACACTAGCCTTCATCCATGGTTTCCTTCTGTCCGTACTGCCCTCTCTGGCCGCGCAGCGTACCAGCGGCGGGAGCAGCGCGGAATTTGAATCGCTCGAGGGGTAGAATGAATTTCCTAAAGAAAATAAACATTTATAAACAAAAACATTTAATGAAAATTATTTAAGTATTATTGTGGAGCGTCCCTGACTCACTTAACGTAGTTTTTGATAAATGATAATTTACAGAATTTTTTAAATAATACAATAAAATATGTTTTATTAAACGTTAACAAGTTTCTTAGCGATGCAATTGTTCTATCTACTGAATCGAAGTTTGAATATTATCCTAGCTTAAAAGAAAAAGTTTCTGAATATATATACAGTGAAATGCCGTAGGAAAATTTACGATGCATCAACTTCCGGACATAGAAACGAAATCGTGATTTCATGTCTGTTATTTATTTACATTCAACACCATTCTTCGTATTCCTTGAATAAATGGACACCTGTAAATCATTAAATGAGCATGTAAATGAGCACCCGTAAACATAAGAAAGACTTTTCTTATCCGAGCTTTTATAAACGCAAATCGGAGTAACTTCCATAAATTGAATTCAGTCGAAATAGATATCCAAAACGTAAAACACCATTTCTATTTCGTATTTGAAATAAGAATAATGAACTACTATGGAGTTCCAATTTTAAATAGATTTTGAATCTATTTCCGGGCTGCGGTCTCGTCCCATCTGGAGCGGCGTTCTTCGTTGCTCTCTCGCGGATCTTATGTCTCCCGACGGCGTTCTCGCGTGCCGTCGTTCACCCTCGAACCTTATCGCCCCTTCCTTCCGCGGTTCGCAAGGTAGATTGTCATTATGCGACGACCGCGATCAAGTAATTGACAGAAGGAAAGGAGGATCAATTCCTCCACGAGAACTTTCGTCTCGAATTAACTGTGCCATCTATTCGTAACGTTAACCGTTCGTTGTCCAAGCTTTATTTGGACACGTAATTTTATGATTCGTATTTGTATTTAAAATACAAGTAAACAATTTAATTTCATCAGTTTTTGCGAAAGTAGCTATTTCGAGTTATGCGTGTTGTTTAACTTTTTCGAGAGTTGATTCCGTTGATAGAGCATGTATCATTCCGATCGATTCTTTTTGAATATTTTTGTTTCTCTGGAAGTATTTAAATTCAAATGGAAATAGATTTAAAATCTATTTAAAATTGGAAATCCAAAATAGTTTATTGTTCTTATTTCAAAAACGAAATAGAAAATGGTATTTTATGTTTTAGATACCTATTTCGAATGAATTCAATTCATAAATGTTACCCAGATTTGAGTTTATAAAAAACTCAGGTATGAGAAGTCTTACTTATATTTGCGGGTGCTCATTTACATGCTGATTTAATGATTTACAGGTGTCCATTTATTCGAGGAAAACGAAGAAAGGTGTAGAACGTAAGTATATAAGTGACATGAAATCATGATTCCGCTTCTATGTCCGAAAGTGGAAGCATTGTATATTTTCCTACGGCATTGCACTGTATACATTTTAATAAACTATTTTTTTTTCAGCTAATATAGTATTCTAACTTCGTTTCAGTTGATGGTACAACTGAATCGCTAAGAAACTTGTTAACTTTTAATAAAACATGTTTTAATATATTCTTCAAGAAATTCTGTTAAGAATCGTTTAGCGAAAACTACGTTATGTGGGTCAAGGACACTTTTCATTAATTTTTTTTTTATAAACATTTATTTTCTTTAGGAAATCCATTCTACCTCTTGGGCGATTCAAATTCCGTGCTGCTTCTGCCGCTAGTACGTTGCGCGGCCGTAGAGGGCAGTAGGTCCGCGAGGTAACCATCGATGAATGCCAGGTATAAATAGTGATATTCACTTTTGCGTTTAATAATTTTGCATTTTTTGTAAGTGTTTTATTACTACCTAATTTTAAAACTGCGACAATTTTGATCTTAAAGTGGTTCTTCTTTTCGTTTTAGTCTCAATGTAAACAGTAGAAAGAGCTATTCAAATCTGGTGCCACGTTTAGACATGGTAATATGGCTGTCCCCCATCCCGTTGCTTCACTCTCCTTGCTAAGTTATCACTTCATGCTCAGTTCCCTTTATTCTGATGTCCATCGTCTGAATCCATCAACATAACCTCAAAGGTATACATTTTCAGATCAAGGTTTGAATTTAGGTGAAACAGGTGATTCGCGATGTTATATGAGATCGAGTGACATATAAAAATAATTGTTCTATGGTTTTATACCAATATCTCGTGAACTTAAATATGACATTTCTAGACTCAAGACATTCTAATTTCAATCCATTCAAATATAAATTATCTTCAACTGTGGCCTCAAACATCCTATTAAGTGTATAAACTATTCCATCATTTGTAAACTAAGTATGAAAGGTATTTGATGATTTTCATTTCGACTATTTTTTATTTTATAATGTAACGAAAATATTAACCTATAATTGGTATTGAAAAAGGTAGAAAAAGTGCCAGATTTTACCATTTTTTTTGTAGAGATTGTGATTAATGATATTTGATACTGTCATGGATCATGTAGAATTATGATGTTATCCTTTTAAACCACATTAGAAATATTAACAATCAATTACTTAATGATAACTTTAAAATTTTAAATATTTATCAGTGCTATACTTACCTGAATACTAGCAGCATTGTTACCAACCACTATATGTATGGTGTGGTGTATGAAAATGAGTAAATCGATTAGGATCTGAAATTGTGTCTTAACTTTATAACTAAAAAAATCCTTGAGAAATGTAAAACTGGGGATTATATCTTAACTATGCTATATAAACCTCAATCATGAAACTTCTTCCTTTTACTCTTCCGAAGGAACCAGTTTTATTACTTTCGTGGGGGGATAAGTACCAGTCATCTATTTTATTTAAATATAGTATTTTGTATATGACATTGATTTGATTACATTTGTGAAATTAATCATTATTATTTTAATTATGGCAGAAATAAACTGAATTAACTGTACCTTTTTGTGATCTTAGGAATCAATTAACGTATTTGGTAAAAGTAATTGATTTTATTGTTTTCTTTGGCGAATGACGGAATGATTCCATTGTCGTATAGATTCACTGTATCTTTTTTTAATTACACCGATTTTATTTATTTTTATCATGCGATCTTTAGTTATAGAGTCGGTTTCTTATGAGTTCGTTTAATCAGAAAATGAATTTGAAAGTAAGTATAGTTGATGCAAGGTTCTATAAGACCTAAGATGTTGATTTTTGGAGGATCTTGCTGTTTTTTGTAATTTGTAAAATGAAAGTACTAATGTATTTGAAATAAAAGTCGATTCTAAATTTTTATCTAGAAAAATGATTTATTTTAGTAATGTAGGAAATAAACGAGAATATATTTGCAGATTTTTTAGATCGGAGGTGTTTTTTGAGGAATTAGTAAAGTATCGGCCTAAAAGGATCGATAACAGTACTGCACTGAATGTAGTCCTGGGTTTGATTCTTTCAGATTGATTCTTTGTTAGTAACGAAATGTAAACAGCAGTATCGTTGAGATGTTAATTTTAACTAATCGGTCCATTACGGTTATCTAAGTTATAAAGACGATCGGTGTCTAACTGTTAAGAAATTTCCGCAAACTTATTTTTCATTTGATATGAAAGGATTGATACCTACAATTGTTATTAATTTTCAGTTTGGCACTTCATTAAGTTTTGCAATCGGAGTTCATGAAACAGTCGGAGACAATATCAGATTTTTCATCATTACAGGATCTATATCAGTACTAGAATTGCACAATTGGAAGAATTATGACAGAAAATACCTAGTGCAAAAAATAAAGGTTTTAATAGCTAGCTGGCATTGAAATATTAATATCCCTATTCCAAATAAATTTAAGAAACAAAGATAGTTTTTATTTTGACACAATGTAAATATCAATACTTTCCTTTTTAATGAAACTTTGAATTTGAAATAAAAAATGTCAATAATCTTACATGTAGTTGTTGACTTCAGGCCAGATTAGAGATGTTAACGGCAGTTTGATGCTAGTAAATGTATCAATGCTTTCACCAAGTATTTTTAGCAAGGATACTCTCATTACAGTGGTGGCGATGGCATGGATCTTATCCCTTTAGATTGACAACAAATGTGGTATTGTCTCAGATTAGTCCATGGACGTCAATTCCTACATTTAACAGCGTGAAACTAAAAATTAATAGTAGTATTGCCAATTACATTATTTTTTCACATTTATAATTTGAAAAACGTCAGTTGCATTAAAAACAGTTGCATTTGGTTGTATGCATTGATGAATAATATTTTTTACGCGTTGAATGTAGAAACACATGTTAAATATGTGAACTTCGCAATGCATTACCTAAATGCATACCTTCTGCTTGCTGTAATTCGTGTAGATTATATAGATATGACCATTCTATTGGTTGGTTATCTGTATCAATTAAACTTTTAAAGTCTGCAAAAATATTCCTGACTAGTTTTAGCATATGGCCAGGGTCCAGGAAAACCATTATCTTTTCACCCGTCACAGGATGAAGAAATGATGTCTGCAATGAATTAACATCAGTAAAATCGGATCCAAGATTTCTAAATATAGAAAGATTTACCCACTGTGCCATC